CCTGAATATTTTACTGGTACGAGCTTCTCCAGAAGTCTGCGACGTCGAGTACCAGGTTCATCAGATTTTACACCATTTAATCGTAAAAATTTATGCATAGAAACCTCAAAGAAATCATTATCGGACATAAGTAACAATGAAAAACTAATGAGTAAAGTTGTAATATTAAAGGAAGATGATGAAGTGCAAATAGATGAAAGCGAAAATAAAAAAATATATCAAACACATATCCAAAGTACTTCCAATAATTCGTTAACACCAAATTCATTAACGAATGTCCATAGGGGGTTACACAAGCCGAACCCTATTTTGCATGCATCAAATACAAACTTAAAAACCCTACCAGAATTTCTTACTTTAGTGGAGTTCACTTCTAGTCCGAAAAGTTGTGACTTTCCATTAAAACAAAAGTCAATGGATCTGCCAACGACTTTGGCACAACCACAAATTGTACGCACAAAAAACACAAATTCAAGTTCATCTACAAATTTACTTCAACGCAGAGGATCCAATCATAGTCTCACTCTAAACTTAAGCTTACACGGCTCGTGTAGTAATCTTTTAGGCAGCTGCCGTACTGGTTTAAGTGCATCAAACTATAGTCTCGGTTCTGTTGGAAACTCTACAACAAATCTCAACTCTAAATCAAGTTATAATTTAGATCAAAGTGTTTCAAGCACCCCACATCCTTTGAATATTACACACACGAACTCAAATACCACACAAGGAGCCAGACAAAGTTTATTCAGACGTCGGGGTTCCAATCACAGTCTTACATTGAATAATCTCAGTGCAACTTCTTGCGGTAACTTAAAAACTTTTGTCAGTCAAAATTCTCTAAACGTAGATAGATGTCAAACGCACCTTACAAGCGGAGTTACTAGAACAACCTCTTTTGTAACACCAACTAACAATACACCGAGTAATACTACACCTAAACGTGGCGGTTTACTTGAGAGAAGAGGTTCAAATCAAAGTCTTACACTAAATATGAGTAGCTCATTCGGTGGTATAGGCGGCACAGAGCGCAGCCTGTATTTAGGTGATTCATCTGCTATCGAACCAGATATTCAAATAAAATTGCCTTCAAACTGCTGTGCTGAAACTCATCAGCGAAAATTTTTCAGTAGCGAAAATCTTAACAAAGGTAACAAACAGTTTGCAGACCTTAACCAAGCGCACAAACGTGATGCCAACCAGGTGTGCTACGGTTCAGTTTCAGACCTAAATCCCAGTGTTGCACACGCACAAGATACCAAGCGCGATCATTTTAATTTTGAGGAGAGCACTGTATGCAATTGCACGGGGGTACGAAATATTATGACACGTCCGTTGTCGCCACAAACCACTAGTGAGGAGTTTAAAATGTATCTTGCAAATATACAGATGCTACAAAACGCGTCAAATGCACTGAGCCAAATCGATCTTATTAAATTCAATTATTTATTCGACAGCAGTTACACAACTAACAGTAAAAGTATAGTTGAACATCAACTTCCTGTTTTAAGTGCACACCATAACAACAAAGAAACTGAGACTCCTATTAGTGGCCTACTATCCACTTCAGAAGATAGTGAAGTAGCTACAAGATACCAAGATGTGATCAGTACTATTTCAGAAAATATAAAACCGGATGATCTTGAACAGAAACGCTTATTTCGGGAATTGCACAAGGAATTCTGGGACTTACCATTAAATCATCAGGAAAAACCCATGGTTTTTGGTTCCCAAGCTAAAAATAGATATAAAACAATTTTACCAAATGAAAATTCACGTTTTATTTTAGAAAAAGAACTAATACCCATACCCAAAGATATCGATGATGCGTTAGTGACGGATGAACCAAAGCTGTCCTATACAACAGATGAAGTTCCATACATTAATGCCAACTATATAAAGGTAATAAAGTTATTTATAGCTTATAATTTATTGTAAAATATTGCTTTTGTTACAGGGTCCAGATTATACATCTAAAGGTTATGTAGCTACCCAAGGTCCTTTACCAAATACCACCTTCGAATTTTGGCTTATGATCTATCAAAACACACAAAAACATATACATGTTTCAGATAGAACTATAACCACTCATACCGGCATCAAAGAGAATCACATTTTACCACAGTATTTTCAAAAAATCGTGATGCTAACCAATTTCTTGGAAAATAATCGTCAAAAATGCGCTATTTACTTTCCAGTGGAACTAAATGAAATTTTTATTACTACAAATAAACAAGAGACCGTAACAGCAAATAAAGAACTACAGGAGTTTTTGAAACCATTTTTAAATCAAAACGATGAATTACCATATCCAAATAAAACGCATTTTGCGGAACAAAGCGTTTGTTTCGAATCATTTGAGACGGACCTCAATGATGAAATATATGCGTTCTTCCCACGCGTTGCCAACTTTTTCGTAATTAAAAATATTGGAATTGTTAAAAAGAACGGATTTTCTATACGAAAATTTGTTATACTCTACTGTCTCAATTACCATTTGCCGGACTATAATGTCAACCGTAATAAACTTCTTATACAGAAGTTTTATAGTTATCACTATTGGTATCCCGATTGGCCGGATCATCGCTCACCTAGAGACGTAAATACTTTGGTTGACATGTGTTTGCATTTATTGAACTTGGGCAAGTGTGAGAAAGAATTCGAAACATACTGCGAAGATAGTGTAACACCGACTCAACAAATACATATAGAACCACAACAAGTTGCTCTATATCAACAGGATATCTTTAACTCAATGCAACCATTTCCAGTGATACACTGTTCTGCTGGAATTGGTCGCACTGGTTGCTTAACCGCAATTCTTAATGGCATACGTCAATTACGTCAATCTCTTGCCTATTCATTGACTTCAATGGCAGCTGCGGTCACAAAGGAGGCTGCATTAATGCAAGTACTTAGCCCTGTAGATTTTAGTCTACCGAAATGTTTTATAGATGCAATTAATGAAAGTGGAGACATATGCCAAATGAGTAATGATACTGATAGCAATTTTACGCGTAATACATTGCTTTATATAAAATATATTTTGAATTATAAAGAGAAGGACTCAAAACAGGTCCCCAAGAAAGAGGAAAAAGAAACGATAATTGAAATCAGACCGAATCATTTCACCGGAAATGAACTGCCCTCACTCTCATCTTTAGCAAAATTGCCAGACATCTTTGTGGATATATTGGGCATAGTATGTAACTTGCGTCTTCAACGTGGCGGGATGGTTCAGAACTCGGAGCAGTACGAATTAATACACCGAGCCATTTGTTTGTATCTTAAGAGAACGTTTGCATTAAAACGTTTTTAATTTTTTTTTTTTGTTTTTGTTTTTGTTCAAATAAGCTTTATCCGTAGGTTTATTGAACATCATTGATAGGGAATGTATGTGTGATAAAGTAACATGACTACAAAATATACCATATGCTATATGTATATAGGTGACTTTGGTAAAGTTTTTGTTTTTAAAATGAATCCCAATTTTATGAATATGTATACAATGTATTTTTGTGTGTGTGTATGTATGTTATTCATGTACTTCTATAGAATTGTACTATAGAACATTTATTTTGCTCTCTCTTAACTGAATGTGTAGTTTTTTTTTTGTCGTTTGTATTTATAAATTTTATTTTACTTACATTAAGAAGAAAATAATTTTTTTTTTAAATTGAATAACCAAATTAAATAATTAAGTTGGGATTTGCTTAAATTGTACTTTTTGTCACAAAGGAAATTCAAATTTCTTTATAAATTATTTGTATATTTTAGTTATAAGTGAAAATACTAGTCAAATAAATAGTAATGTAAAATAAAATGTATATTATTTATTTATTTGTAAAACGTTATGAAGAACTAATTTTAAAAATCAAATATAGCCACAACATTAAATAAAATACGACAACGCTAAGTATCACTATATGATTACTCTTGTGTTTCACCATTCGCAAATAAGTTTTACCATATAGAGAAAAAGGGTCCTACAAATAAATTTTAATGACAATGTACACAAACACAATGCTAGTCAAAAGTACTTAACAATAACTTGAAAGAAACAATAGTGTTCCAAAACTGGCAGAGACTTCATGGGGTACTTCAGCGAATTATCTACTCAGTTTACTCAACGACTGAATATGGTACACATGTGTGGTTCAACAGTTGTCAGATTAAGCAAATCGATAACATAAGAACAGTCTCAGGAACTCTAAAGGCTAAACTGTTTACAGGCACCCGGCTCACATTGTCGCACATATTCATGATACAATATCCTTGCTAGGTTAAATTAATCTGACTGACTTTAAACTACACAAAGACCTATTATTCTCAATCGATACCAAATAGAGATAAATGTTTGTGCAAATTGTTGAAATAAACATTTTTTTCGCGACTATATAATCTCCATCAATTATATATAAAAAAAAATTATTAGGTTGGTATAAATCTCTATTCCTGGGATAGAATTATTAAGTATTTTTTAAAGATTTTTGAAGCGTGGTTTTATACCAAACCTAAATCCTGGATATCGTAGTTCCATGCATTTATGGCAGTCTTTAAATACATTAGATCTTTTTGTGCTAATATAATCCTTTTTTTATTTTGCAATTGTGATAATGGTATGCGATAAATAATTCAACTAAATGGGTTACTCGAGAAATATTTGAATAACCCTAGATACCAGATTAAACCAATAATTTTTATACAGACATTAAGCAATATTCGAATCAAATATTAAATGAACATCTCAAAGTTCAACCAAACTTCTATCCAAAAATTGTTGATTAGAATAGAATAATTAGAATACATCTAATCATATCCACTCAAAGTTCACTATTGCTGAATTGTACTTAATAGATATTAAGTAATATGTGTGCGGGTTTACTGAACCAGTGTTCAGCTCCCATAGTGTTAAGTGCCCTATAAAATATTAGTATTCTTAAATAATCAAAGTAAGGTAACTTGGTCAGGTAATTAATTTCTTATATCTTGAAGTAATACTTCTTACATCTTTTATTTAAGATAGAGGAATAATTAGTATTAAAAGTAAATAGTATTAAAAAAAAGACATATTTAACAGATTTTTGGTGTTTGTAATATATTAATTTCTTAATATACATTATAAAAGTAAATTAGAAACAATTTTATTTATTAAGATAATTATAATTATCATATGTTTTCCATATCGAATACTTTCATTGTTCATTACAATTTCATATACATATTATATTAAACCGTTGCGCTTAGTCTAGAGTAATCGATTCTGTCATAATGTTGGTAGATGCTGCGCCAGAAATCCATACGATTTTCTTCAGGATTTTTTTTCATTTCAAATTGTTTATCAATAGATAAATAATCTAATACGAATTCACTATCTTCCGTTTCCGGACATGTCACTGGTTTCCAGTTGATTGCATCATCAATAGTTGGTTTTCCATATTTTGCAAAATTTGTCCAAAGCTGACACAACTTATTGGCAAATATTTCATCATCCGGTGTTAAAGTTGTTTTATCACCAGCTGTTTGGAACATGTAGCATAATTCATCGCCATGACAAGCTCCATTAAGTACTTTAAATTGGAATATACGTTTGTACATATTGTGGTCACCAACATAATTAAAGCGATAAAAAAATAATGGTGCATTCGTTTGATAACGGGCTTGACACTCTGCGGCACGCTGCATGTCAACAACAAAGTGATAATCACTCAATACATTCGCGAGTTCATTTAAGGATTTTTCATTTATAATTCCACCATTAAAATAAAAATCTCGCATGTCCTTAGCAATGGCTTTAATACCAGGACTATCTATTGGCAATGGTATATCACGTGGTACAAACCGTTCTAAGTCATTTTCTATAGCATTTAATTTGCGTAATGCATTGAATAACATAGCTAAACCTTCGGCAGAATTATAGCCCATTATAGTTGGAACTTTTACGACATTAATTGTTTGTAAGCTTTCTAATATAGGTTTTTTGATAAATATGTCAGGACTATTTATATCTTCAACTACTGGCTTAAAAGGTAATGGAAGACCACGCCGTCGTTCATCTTCTGTTAGTACGCCAAGTGTGCAAGCCAATATTCTATCAGCAGTTACGGCATCTGATTGCAAAAATGCTAGTATATCACTTGTTTTATTTGACTCACAACCTAATAATTTAGCTAATTTTCGGGTTTTATAGCCTGGATTCGATTGGAATGACCATTCCATATTAGCCGTACCACTTTGCATTATAGCTTTGTGAAAGTATTTATTTGCATGATCGGCATAAGAATGCATATGAACAGAAGCTGCTCCTGCACTTTCACCAAATATTGTTACATTATTTGGATTACCATTGAATTTTGCAATATTCTCCTGTACCCATTGCAAAGCAAGACGCTGTATTAATAGAACAAAGACATTATAAATGAGTTTTTAATGGATGACAATTTATTATTTACTTGATCTTTTAATCCAGCATTGCCATAGATTCCTTCCTCGGGTAAACTTAAGAATCCCAATGGTCCTAAACGATAATTAATTGTGACAACAATAACACCATGTTCCATTAATTTAAGTGGATAGAAACTATAATGAAAACCGGATAAATTATTAGTTTAATTAATTTAAATTAATGAAAACTCACAAATCACTGTTTCCACTACCAAACCAGAAGCCACCACCATGTATCCAAACCATAACTGGTAACTGCTTTTCATTAGCTGATTGAGGCGCATAGACATTTAAATGGAGACAGTTTTCTGAACCAACAATTTTTTGCAGAAAAGGATCACGATGATGTGATATATCGCGTTCTTTAGAACAATCCAATTCTTGTACTTCAAATTGTTCAAGCGCCACAGGTGACTATCCAAGTCGAAAACATAATTAAAATACAAATTAACAAATTAAAATTAAAATTACTTTAAATCTAAGCGTTCCAACTGGTGGTTTTGCATATGGTATTCCTTGAAAACTATTAAATGGTTTTCCATTGGGCAATAACTTCTGAACACCAGCAAGCGTTCCTTGTTTTATTTGAACTTTGATCATCTCTTCGTACTGCATAAATTGCTATATTTTATATTATTTTTATTTTGTTTTTGTTAGCACTGTAATTAATACTTTCTACTTTTTACGTTAAAAAGTATCTGAAGTTAACTCTAAGCACAGCTAGCACTTAATAAACATTTATTCATGTATCAATCCGTTTAAATAATGTAATTACGATTATCTTGGAATATGATTTGATTACTTGAAATTGAGCGAACCTGAGAAACATTTATATCTATAGAACTGTATGAGGGACAACAATCAAGCATTTATATCTATAGAACTCTATGAGAGACAACTACCAAACATTTATATCTACGGAACTCTATGAGAGACAACTGCCAAGCACTTATATCTATAGAACTAAACATTTGAATTGCTCTCTTAGCTTAATGTATGCTTTTCTTATTTGTTGTGTTGATATATTTTTTGTTCTGTTATTAAAACAATTGTGCAATTTTAATTGGACTCTTTATAATAAAAAAAATGATTTTTGTGAAAATTATTAATTTATTTCACATTAGTTAAAAATAATTTAAATAAAATTTGTGGAGGTATTATAAATCGGAACTACTTCTCATTTGCGAATAAATGGTACGTACCACTCTCGTCAAAATTTCAGTATTTGTCAAAAAGGCGTACCAAAAGAAAAACAGATTTCCACTGGAACAATAAAATCAACTTAGTTATAAAAACATTAAGTGGATTAATATTTATTGATATTGATTAAATTGGATTGACATTATCCAATATTATTCAAGATACAACTGATGAACTGCATAGTAAATTTAATTACTTTGAAGTAAATGCATCCTTAACCATTAACTTTAGAAAAAATACAGTCAATGAATTTTGAAATTAAGCTAGGAGTGGAACTTAAACTCTCGCCAATCATCTAATCATTTATGTATCATCAACAGGACCGTAAAATAAATTCATAAGAACCACATTTTGTATCTTCCATCAAAGCACAAACATATACAATTTTCTCCAGATCATTTTAAGTCAGTAAGGCAGATAAGGGTCTGTATTAAATAAATAATAATATTTATATATATTGTATAAATATTTATTTATATAATATTGTTTTGTACTCTTATAAAATAAATTTTTTTTTTTTGATAAATTTAACAAATCGAATCAATATAGTCATATCTATCTACCTCTACCTTTTGAATGCAAGTTTATCTCAGTTTAAAATTAAAAATATGAAAATTTTGTAAATGAACTTTGAACGTTCACTTAAATGATGAAATGGGTCAGTGAATTTAGTCATATTCACCTACACATAACATATAATCGATAATTATAATGAAACTTTCGCATTTTGGAGTTTCAACAATAAACTTTTTGATAATAAGCTATAAACATTAACCGAAATAAATAGCAATAGACAAATTCCCGTCACTTTTAAGACATAACTATTAAATAAATTGGACTGGATACGTTTACAATCTTACTGGTAACTAAGTAGTTATATTGATTTCTTTCCAGTCAAACAAAAATTTCATTTTCAATTTGAATGTATGATACAATTTCTTTTACAAAACTCTAGATCTTTAGATTAAAGAAGGTTTCAAATATTATCTACCTAGAAGAACGTATACACTTACATACTCTAAAAAACTAAATCTAAAATAAAATATTTTTAATAAATATTAAATATTCTTAATAAGAACAAATATTTGCTATCTAGTACTAAATAACTTCCTTAGTAGGAAATATAGCTATTTATTTATTTTATTTATTTATAATGAATATGCATACTATAGTA